CGATAATTGCGTAATGAGAGTCAATATTTAAATTGCGAATTTTTCATTCGACCATCATTTTCTTTATGAAAAGAAAAACTAAGAGTTGAAAATGAGAAAACTTTGCTGTATTCTGACAGAAACTAAAAGGATGTCATTTTTTGTATTTTTTGTTAATCTTAGATCTAGCATATGTGTGATACTTGAGCGCATAAAAATAGAAAATACATAAATGTATTAAGAGTTATATAAAGAGAATTATGAATCAGCGAGTGAGGAGATTATTTTCAACATGGGCGCAAATAGTGATATTTCTAGATATGAGTACTTACAAAGGCATATCGTCTGTCTCTTCTTAACGGCTTTAAACATGAAAACATACATCTCGATATAGCCTACCGTTTTTGCTGGAAGAAGTTCTGGTGCTTTCTTCACTACTGCTGGAGGAACGATTTATGGCGACGCTTCTATTGGACGTTTTATTCTTCCTTGTCATTGTTTTTAAATGTGACGACCTGCTTCTCGTCAATCCTGAACTTGAGCTTGAGCTTGAATTACTTGCATTTTTCGTCAAGTCTTTTGAGGATCGTGCCATTATTAAGGTTAAACCTAACAGTCTTGAAACAGGCAGTTGTTAAATATACAGACGTTAACGCAGTTTTTCTAAAGAAAGAAGTTTCTCTTGCTTGCCTGTACAGACCCAAGAAAGACCAGACTTATTTATGTAATTTTCAGATCATGGAAACTGTCTTGCCACTAGCTAGCGATGTTTGGAGACGTTATAATTGACTTTACGTTACGTAACACTCATAATGAACAATTTAGAATTTAATTTGGCATCTCAATTTTCTTTATTAGAATCATCATCATCTGTTATTAACTCATGACGTCACAAGGATGAAGCAAAAGATTATTGCTGCGAGCGGAGCCCCTAGCAGCCCACTACAATTTGGATTTCCCGTGGTTTCTTGGATGTCCTGTTCCTATTTAGACGTCACAATATCGATGTTTGTTTGTCAGGATGATGTTTTTTTTATCAAAAATGGTCCACAGTATCATCATAATTCAAGTCGTAACACTCTTAGTGCGTCATTCTAATTGCACTAAGTTTCGCACATTTTGTGGCGCGCGCAAACAGTTTCAATTGTATTATTTTCGCACGGCCATGCACTCGAGAAACAAAGAACTCGTGATTTTGGGACTTCCTTGTAGTCCTTTACCCCACAACTATTAATTGACCCGATAGAAGGGTCTGTAATTAGCAAAATGTGTATGTCAGCGGTCAGTTCATTGTTTCTCAGCCAGAGATCACTTGAGAAAGTTAGGCTAACTTTTTCAAGTTGTGTAAGCTCCTCCAAGTAAAATCTAAAAATGTACATAATTTTTTTATATTCATTACGTTGAAACCTCCGTCTTAATTTTGCAGATGTCGCTTAAAGAAAGAACAAAGTACTTGCCTTAGTTTTAGGGTTGAAACACTTTTTACTCCCAAGTCAAGGGCGAACTTTATGAAATTAAGCGAGGTTAAGAAAGGGCCAAAGTGCGGAGCAGCAAATGAAATACCATATTAAAACTTTTGCGAAAAATGAGTAAGCCTTTATTTTGCTCAATGCTACATTACATCGCAGTAACAAACGTGTACAAACAAGTTGATTGCTAAGAATAAGTTAGTATTGCAATAAATTAATAAATGTATTAAGCAGAACGATATTTACAACATGCCTGGCAAAACGCGACATACAAGTAACAAAACGTGTATCACACTGAACGATTGTCATCTCTTAGAACACAAAATCCTGGAAAAGAACAGACATGCCGATAATTATGATCATGCAATGAAGGAAAAACTATTAAAATCAAAAAAGCTGTGAGAAGTGTTTGCTGTCTGCCATTTACGTCGGCAAACTGGTCGGTTCATCGTTTTGGCAAATGGTAAGCAAAATTCAGAACTGGTAAATTTCATCCCGGAATCGCGTTAACCATTTTGTACAAATCAGTTTCAATTAACGAAAAAAGACCGCGAAGGCCTGAAACTGGTATCAAACAAAGATGGCTTTGAAGAAATGGAACACGAATTTCCATTTCGAACTTTTCGTCGGGAAAAAAAGGGGTCTATCTTTTTAGACCCCTTTGCTCCCGGAGATTTTCCACTGAAAAAAAAAAAAAAAAAAAAATCGTGATCTATTTACTTTCCAACAGGATTTTCCGCCGGGGGGAACTTTTGTAAATGATACACAACCGGTGATAGCCATTTGATGCTATTTTGAAACAGCTTTTTAAAAAGTTCCACTTGCTCCCGATTTACTGTTTTAGCTTGTCAACACCATGGTCAACAACATTGATAACACGAATATACAACAACAACAACGAAAAAGGACAAAAAACCCTATTTCTTTAAAATAATATGAAATTGTTTCAAACTTTTCATTTTGCACACTATATATTCACATCTGCAAATAATTATACCGATTTCACAATTCAGTCTAGTTTGCCTTTCAATACAGGCAAAGTCACACATCAATATCTCATAATGATACCTCCAGTCACTACGTTGAACATAAATTAGTAAATGCCCGAAACACTATGGATTTTTCACTGTCATAAATACGATATTTAAAAATTTTTGTTGACACACCTATAGAATGACTGATTAAAACGCTCTAAAATAATATGTAAATTTGAAAAGTATTAATCATGTACAAATGCATCAGGCCTGCCTGACCACATATCCAATACCTGAGGTAACGCAGTTAAATAAACCGGAATCCGGTCACCTCGCCACCAGACCATTTCGCCACAAACGAAATCGCGACCAAGGAGTCTACTCGCCACCAACTAACAACTCGTAAATAATTGACACACTTACCAAGCATAATAATAGCTCCTATGAAACGTAGGCTCCTTGTCAAAACAGACAGATCTGCGAACAAGTTGGCGGCGAGTTCACTTCTTGGTGGCGAGATGACTATAAACCAATAAACCTCTATCACAGCCGCGGCAAAAGCTGCAGTTTAATGCAAAACTGTCATAAATGGTGTTTTATATTTCGTGACCAACATTGTTCCAAACTGAATTTCTAAGAGAGATTGCCTACAGTGAGGAGGGCTTATAACTGACCTCTAAAGAAGGCCTGGGCATACGCAAAAAGCTCATTGCTATTTTGAACATTAAAACTAAACCAATTAAAGAAAATGAACATTAATAACTTCATCAGTTGTCTGTTTGATGCCAAATAAAAGGAATCAATCAAGCATTTGCTTCGTTTTCATTTAATTTGACTGACTAGAGCGACAGACTAAGGCCCCGAGTCAACTTAGCAAGCGTTTATATGAGAAAAAAGGTGAATCCATTCGTCTGAGCCAAAAACGCACACGCATGCTTTGATTGTCCGGCTTTGGCTAAGTTGACCCGGCTTGGCCAGACAAAGTGTTTAGAGTGATTTTACTAAACCCGTGAAATAAGTAGTAGAAAACTACGCACTATTATGCACCAATTCCATTGACTTCTTTTGTTGACCTCTTGCTATTTGTTAGTATCTGTTTCACGGTTCAAGTAAAATCACTCCATATGGAGAAAAGTTGGCTCGCGAGGAAGATGACCCATCTATCACGAAAAGGTGAACTGGCTAGACGAATAGCTCTTCTAACCGAGCAGACTTTTTGAATCTCATGTAAACAGTTCGCCTCGTTTTGTAAGGACATGTACGAAAAGTTGACTCGCCCATGATAGCTCGCTTAACCCTTTAAGCCCCAAGATCCACATATAAACTCTCTAAAATGATCTCCATATATTTCTTTTAAGAATAGTTGAGAGAAATTGGTTTAAGATCAAAGTATTCTCCCACTGGTAATCAATTCAGTAATTCTCATGACCTTTACTCTTGATGATCTGCTGATGTTGTTGGTAGAAAATTGATGTTGGTCACTCTTGCTACCCGAGGCAACTTTTCTCCACGTAAACGGGGCCTTGAGGCCATTTAATTGTCCGTTCTTCACATGAGAACCAGTCAGGGGCACCCAACGACTGTTTCGTCTGTAAAATATCAGTTCGGAGAAGCAAAAATTGCCTAGATTTTTCTAGAGCTTGAGGAAGGCTGAAAATTTCAAGATGAAGCTTCGAAACTTGTACACGAATGGAACGGTACCTAACAAATTCTCTACGATTTTCTCAAGTTTAATTTTTCGCATTTCACTCCTCAGGTTAAGTTATTTTTCGGAGAAAAAAGAAAACCTAAAATTTTCGCATTGGAAAATGTGAGGGAGAGACCACCCAAAAAATTCTTACTTTCGTAATACTTTAAAATGCGTCTAAAATTTTCGGGAAAAAAATACTGAAGCCCTTGTAATTTCGAAAAGACTCAAGTTGCGCAAGGATGACCGAACAGATATAAATTTCTTAGTGCTACTTAGAATGCATTTCTAGAGATCTAAAAGTACTCTGGATAGCCTAAAAAGTGTTTTCAATGCATATTTTAGGAGGAAACCGTCGTTGGGTGCCCCATGACCAGCTACACTGCTTATCAGTTTGAAACTTGCGAGTGTTTCTTTTTCTTTTTGCAACAAATTAACAACAGGCAGTACCTTAATTTTATCATGACAAGCAATTATTCAGTTAAAAGCTGCAATTACATTTTGTTACCTGAGCTGCTCTTTAATGTCAAATTACAAGATCATCATCATTATCATCATCATTATCATTTTATTTTTTAATTAGCTGTGTGAAAGTGCTTTACATGACATGAATTAGTCACAGCTTAATTTAAATGGTACTCTGAGGTTGCTTGATGATAAAATCAAAGCAGTTACAAATTAATATTAGCTACCGAGTTTTCAGATTGATTAAACTTTTCATGGGTTAACTATTTCAGTTATAATAAATGTTATTATTGTTAATTATTCAGAAACCCAAAGAAGAAAGAAATTCAAAATTGCAAAGCTTGGTTAGCAGATACGAATAATTATTTTCAGGAATTGATTTAAGTTAATCTACAGCTGTACATGTTTGTCGCGAAACTCAAATCATCAATGTGGTCTGGAAGAAACCATACTTGAGTCAGAGTGGTGTCTTTGACGTCGTCCTGGATCATGTACTCCATCAATTTCACTGCTCTTATTTCCATTCAGAATGTCTTTGATGTGCTGCACAATAAGCCCTATGGCCACTGAAAACAAAGAGGACACATGAAATCTGAAGCAGTGACAGCCTATAAACCTTACTGTATTCACTCGTGAGTGAAGGTCAAGCCTATGTATAAGATGACACTCCTTTTTTGAAGCTCCACATGAGATTTTTGTCAATCCTGGAAAGAAATGCCTTGGAAAATTGATATACACGTAGATCAACGAAACAATAAGACCCACAACAAAGAACTACATGCAGCTGAATTTTTTTGGCCTTCATTGCTTGTCATCGTAGGCTAATTTTTGCACAATGTACGTAGGATTTACAAGACTGTTTTCAATCAGCCCACAAGAGCTTGTGGCCTGTGTAGAACATGAAGATGGCATTTTGGATAGGCTTTTTGGTTGGAAAAAGGTTGACTTACGTATACCTGACAGATAAATAAAATACACCTCTTAATATTAAGAGGCCCAGCCGTAGTCCTTCATACTGCTGCTCTTCATCTCATCTGCCATGTTTAGGATGGTAAAATTTGAAAAAGGTCAAGGCCCTGACCTAGCCTCCCATTCTTCATTCCCAGACATTCTTTTTTATTTTTACTATTTTCTTTATTCTCAGACATTCTTATTATGAACTATTGTCATTCAGTAACTCAGAGTGGTGGATACCAGGTTTTGGTCAGGTCTTACTGTTTATAGCAATAAGTTAAATTTTTATATTCTCTACCTGTGTTATCTGATCCTCTTGGTATTATCACATCAGCATACTTTTTTGTCTGCAAAATCAGTATTATAGTCAGGTGGGTATATGAGGAGAGCTCATGCTACTAAACTTCCATGCCAAAGATAAATGTTCCATACCAATGGGTGAGGTTCCTTACATTGTATCTGCCATCCCGACCAACAGATTTGCTCAATCCAATTACCCAGACAGTATTATCAGCTAATCACGGCCCAGAAAACATGGTTTTCAAAGAAGCCTTACAAGGGTCTGGATTTCCTCATCTACAAAGGTCTATTTAACAATTATTCCTCGAACCTGAATGGGCTCTCGGGCTATTGACTCAGAGGCCATGAGGGCGAGAGGAACAAATATTGTTTTAGTAAAATCCACCTAGTTGGTCAAAAATATTGAGACAAAACAGCTTTAGCTAGTTAAAGCTAGACTGCCGCCAAAAAGCCGGTGCTTTTCGCTACTAGTTGGCTATAACATATAGCCTAGTAGTAGCTCAACCAATCAGAATGCAGCATTGATAATAGACCACTAGTTGGATTTTACTAAAAGCAGATAGGCAAAGTGATAAAGTTGAACCTCAACTAACGGCTACCTCTACACAATGGCCATCTCCCCACAAAAGCCACTATTTTGGTGGACAGTCCATATATTGACTCTATTTGTTCAAACCTTTCTACAATGGCCACTTTTTTCGGTCTCCAAGGTTGCCATTGTGGAGAAATTCAACTGTACATAATTATAATTATAGTCACAATGTAATTGCTTGACTTATGTGAAGGAAATGTGGGTAGCCTTTGGTAATTTGAAATAACAGGATTTTGGTCAATATTTAAGAAAATGCAGCTCAGTGTTCTAACAGGATTTCAGTTTTCTTAAACATCTGTTCCACAGTCCCACTTTATCAAAAATGACATTATTCTGTATCCCACTCTTTTTTTTAAGATTCCAGTCCTAATTTCCTGAATCCTGGCATTTAAATAGGTTAAATGCCATCCCAAAAATGTACTGGGACCCTCACAGATGTAAAACAAATTTTAATTAATTCATGTCATGTCTTCCAAAAATAGGTGACCTGCTATACCACTGAATAATAAAGTAAAATTTATTCCAAAGTAATGCATCAGTCAATATAAACCCCCGCATCCCCCGGCCAGGACATAGGCGGGTATAATTTTGATAAGGGCTTACTGCTAAAGTTGTAAAATGCCCCACACCCAAGGGTCATGCAGCTTTTTCCTCTTATTGAAGCTAATGACCCCACTCATATCCACTGCTCTTGTTGGAAAAAGGTCAAAGGGACAGGTTAATGTATTTGTCAAGTAACACATGTTGCTGCATAATATGGTAAAATACAGTATATGTCCTGGGGTGTGGGGTTTATGACTGGTGCATAATTCAGGCAAAGAAACACAACATGAAAATGTTCCAAATAAAACATTTTTTTATATATAATATAATTTAATTGCAAGTAAAACACAAAGAACAAAAAAAGAATACACAGAATAAAATATTAATTGGAAGAAAAAAATTACATGAAGTAAATAACTAACTAACTAACTAAATAAAAAGTAGCAAATTTCACATAATTTACATAATCATACATAAATAAAACATGTGAAGTTAATAAATGTAAAAAAGAAAAAAAGAAGCTGCATATTTAAAAAAATTCAACTTATCAACATAATATTATCGAATTAAAATATTATAAAATAATAAGAAAAGTTGGAAACTTACAGGAAGACAAAATTCCTCAAAAGCTGGTTTAACAAAATTGGCATATGTTGCCAGCACCTGTTCCAGATCCCTTCCTCGTTCCTGAGTGTCACGTAAAACTAAAATACAACATGAACATCATGTAAATTCATCGATATACAGCAAATACCATGATTGACTTATTAAGTAAATACTACATTTTCAGTTTAATTTCATTTATAAATTGCTTTATTTAAAACAATGTACCTATTTTGAAATAATAAGTACTCATTATCTTGTTAATTCAATTATATGTTGATGTTGATGTATCTGTTTTTCTTTATTGTCATGTTTCAACCCTGTTATTGTAATTTTTGTTACTTTTCCTTCCCGCCTCGATTAGCTGTGCCATTTTGCGGGCAAGGGTCAATAATTATGATACTGTATGTATCCAAAGTCTTTTTAATAAACTTGAACTTGAACTTGAAATACAGGTACAAATGTAGCCCTGCAGTTATTTACGAAACATAGTAGTAAGACTTCATTACAAGTCCAGTTCAGTCATGTTTTCTAACCTCTTTCTATAAAGTACATGACATCAGGGCCCAGTTGTACGAAAGGTGGATGACATTATCCACTGGATAATAAACCACTGTCTTGTGGATAACGCAATTGGTTTCCCTTTTACTTCTCTGCTGGATCATCGTGATTTATCCGGTGGATAGGACTATTCAAACTTTGAACACCCAGGCCAGTTCATTCGAACATACGGTTTAGTCAAATGTCTTCATAATTACCCTAGTTTTTCATATCTGATCAAATTCTTACAACTTTCCCTTAGGTCAGTTAATGACAGTAATATCATTGTTTAGATTAGAAATGTCTTCAATTTCAATATTAAACTACAGAACTTACTTTAGAATGTACTCAGTTGTTTTATTTCAGAGCTAACTTGTTATGAGTTCATTTACAACAAATTATGGACTAAAGGCATGTTCCTTCAGAGTTTCTCTGCATTCATAAAGTATCAAATGATTTATAAACTATTACTAATTTCTATTAGATCAAGCTTACTCGAACTCTCTTCTCCTGAAAGCTTTCTCTTTTTGCACGAGTTGGGTTGACAATCGAGCTTCCTTTTTCGTCCTGTAAGAGCGAGGGAATTATACAAGCAGTTTAAACATAGCGAAAAATAACCACACCCCTCGTACATGGGTTGTTTTTCTATTGTTGATAGTCACACTAGTTCGGGCTATGTTCACGCTGTACCAGATATCTCTAGCGCCGACACAATACCATACAGAATAAGACTTCCGTTCACACGTAAGATTTCTACGCGATTTTTGTAACGGAGCGAAGCTACGCCGCGCCGATCTTGAAAGTGGATCATAATATATCGAATAGCCTTTCTCGCAGTGCGAACAGACATTTTCTATTATCCATGTTCGAACCATAGCGGAAGTCAGTGAATTGGAGCGAGGACTGGAACCCATTGAGACAGAAGTATATATTTAGAATATTTAGAAGTGGGTATTGGGATTAAGCGCACCAAACTCTCGATGTTCGATCTGTGTGAACTAGTTATTCCAGTTTTGAGCCCTTGCAGTTCATACTGTACAGGGAAGCTTTTCACATCGTCACGAAAAGCTATCAGGTATTATCAGGTAAACATGGCCTAAGATGGAAATACATTTGTTTGTTTTACCACGCGCGCGCGCGCCAATTAATTCATTCAAGCAGGGTATGCATCCTACGTTAGAGATAAATTTCGAGACTTACTTGACACACACATACACACAAGTGAACCGGCTTGAATTATCACAAAATGTCAAAGTTGAACCAAAGCTATTTTAATAAATGGCGACCTTCCTACACGCGTTTGGCGTCTTCTATACCTTATATTTTTCTCAATTTCATTTATTTATGGATTACACCTTTCTAATAACTTTGTTCTTCGCCGATTGATGGTTTCTTGAACAATGACAATTTAAACCAATTTACAGTAGATCTGTTGTAATTGAAATTAGAACAATCGATAATTGCGTAATGAGAGTCAATATTTAAATTGCGAATTTTTCATTCGACCATCATTTTCTTTATGAAAAGAAAAACTAAGAGTTGAAAATGAGAAAACTTTGCTGTATTCTGACAGAAACTAAAAGGATGTCATTTTTTGTATTTTTTGTTAATCTTAGATCTAGCATATGTGTGATACTTGAGCGCATAAAAATAGAAAATACATAAATGTATTAAGAGTTATATAAAGAGAATTATGAATCAGCGAGTGAGGAGATTATTTTCAACATGGGCGCAAATAGTGATATTTCTAGATATGAGTACTTACAAAGGCATATCGTCTGTCTCTTCTTAACGGCTTTAAACATGAAAACATACATCTCGATATAGCCTACCGTTTTTGCTGGAAGAAGTTCTGGTGCTTTCTTCACTACTGCTGGAGGAACGATTTATGGCGACGCTTCTATTGGACGTTTTATTCTTCCTTGTCATTGTTTTTAAATGTGACGACCTGCTTCTCGTCAATCCTGAACTTGAGCTTGAGCTTGAATTACTTGCATTTTTCGTCAAGTCTTTTGAGGATCGTGCCATTATTAAGGTTAAACCTAACAGTCTTGAAACAGGCAGTTGTTAAATATACAGACGTTAACGCAGTTTTTCTAAAGAAAGAAGTTTCTCTTGCTTGCCTGTACAGACCCAAGAAAGACCAGACTTATTTATGTAATTTTCAGATCATGGAAACTGTCTTGCCACTAGCTAGCGATGTTTGGAGACGTTATAATTGACTTTACGTTACGTAACACTCATAATGAACAATTTAGAATTTAATTTGGCATCTCAATTTTCTTTATTAGAATCATCATCATCTGTTATTAACTCATGACGTCACAAGGATGAAGCAAAAGATTATTGCTGCGAGCGGAGCCCCTAGCAGCCCACTACAATTTGGATTTCCCGTGGTTTCTTGGATGTCCTGTTCCTATTTAGACGTCACAATATCGATGTTTGTTTGTCAGGATGATGTTTTTTTTATCAAAAATGGTCCACAGTATCATCATAATTCAAGTCGTAACACTCTTAGTGCGTCATTCTAATTGCACTAAGTTTCGCACATTTTGTGGCGCGCGCAAACAGTTTCAATTGTATTATTTTCGCACGGCCATGCACTCGAGAAACAAAGAACTCGTGATTTTGGGACTTCCTTGTAGTCCTTTACCCCACAACTATTAATTGACCCGATAGAAGGGTCTGTAATTAGCAAAATGTGTATGTCAGCGGTCAGTTCATTGTTTCTCAGCCAGAGATCACTTGAGAAAGTTAGGCTAACTTTTTCAAGTTGTGTAAGCTCCTCCAAGTAAAATCTAAAAATGTACATAATTTTTTTATATTCATTACGTTGAAACCTCCGTCTTAATTTTGCAGATGTCGCTTAAAGAAAGAACAAAGTACTTGCCTTAGTTTTAGGGTTGAAACACTTTTTACTCCCAAGTCAAGGGCGAACTTTATGAAATTAAGCGAGGTTAAGAAAGGGCCAAAGTGCGGAGCAGCAAATGAAATACCATATTAAAACTTTTGCGAAAAATGAGTAAGCCTTTATTTTGCTCAATGCTACATTACATCGCAGTAACAAACGTGTACAAACAAGTTGATTGCTAAGAATAAGTTAGTATTGCAATAAATTAATAAATGTATTAAGCAGAACGATATTTACAACATGCCTGGCAAAACGCGACATACAAGTAACAAAACGTGTATCACACTGAACGATTGTCATCTCTTAGAACACAAAATCCTGGAAAAGAACAGACATGCCGATAATTATGATCATGCAATGAAGGAAAAACTATTAAAATCAAAAAAGCTGTGAGAAGTGTTTGCTGTCTGCCATTTACGTCGGCAAACTGGTCGGTTCATCGTTTTGGCAAATGGTAAGCAAAATTCAGAACTGGTAAATTTCATCCCGGAATCGCGTTAACCATTTTGTACAAATCAGTTTCAATTAACGAAAAAAGACCGCGAAGGCCTGAAACTGGTATCAAACAAAGATGGCTTTGAAGAAATGGAACACGAATTTCCATTTCGAACTTTTCGTCGGGAAAAAAAGGGGTCTATCTTTTTAGACCCCTTTGCTCCCGGAGATTTTCCACTGAAAAAAAAAAAAAAAAAAAATCGTGATCTATTTACTTTCCAACAGGATTTTCCGCCGGGGGGAACTTTTGTAAATGATACACAACCGGTGATAGCCATTTGATGCTATTTTGAAACAGCTTTTTAAAAAGTTCCACTTGCTCCCGATTTACTGTTTTAGCTTGTCAACACCATGGTCAACAACATTGATAACACGAATATACAACAACAACAACGAAAAAGGACAAAAAACCCTATTTCTTTAAAATAATATGAAATTGTTTCAAACTTTTCATTTTGCACACTATATATTCACATCTGCAAATAATTATACCGATTTCACAATTCAGTCTAGTTTGCCTTTCAATACAGGCAAAGTCACACATCAATATCTCATAATGATACCTCCAGTCACTACGTTGAACATAAATTAGTAAATGCCCGAAACACTATGGATTTTTCACTGTCATAAATACGATATTTAAAAATTTTTGTTGACACACCTATAGAATGACTGATTAAAACGCTCTAAAATAATATGTAAATTTGAAAAGTATTAATCATGTACAAATGCATCAGGCCTGCCTGACCACATATCCAATACCTGAGGTAACGCAGTTAAATAAACCGGAATCCGGTCACCTCGCCACCAGACCATTTCGCCACAAACGAAATCGCGACCAAGGAGTCTACTCGCCACCAACTAACAACTCGTAAATAATTGACACACTTACCAAGCATAATAATAGCTCCTATGAAACGTAGGCTCCTTGTCAAAACAGACAGATCTGCGAACAAGTTGGCGGCGAGTTCACTTCTTGGTGGCGAGATGACTATAAACCAATAAACCTCTATCACAGCCGCGGCAAAAGCTGCAGTTTAATGCAAAACTGTCATAAATGGTGTTTTATATTTCGTGACCAACATTGTTCCAAACTGAATTTCTAAGAGAGATTGCCTACAGTGAGGAGGGCTTATAACTGACCTCTAAAGAAGGCCTGGGCATACGCAAAAAGCTCATTGCTATTTTGAACATTAAAACTAAACCAATTAAAGAAAATGAACATTAATAACTTCATCAGTTGTCTGTTTGATGCCAAATAAAAGGAATCAATCAAGCATTTGCTTCGTTTTCATTTAATTTGACTGACTAGAGCGACAGACTAAGGCCCCGAGTCAACTTAGCAAGCGTTTATATGAGAAAAAAGGTGAATCCATTCGTCTGAGCCAAAAACGCACACGCATGCTTTGATTGTCCGGCTTTGGCTAAGTTGACCCGGCTTGGCCAGACAAAGTGTTTAGAGTGATTTTACTAAACCCGTGAAATAAGTAGTAGAAAACTACGCACTATTATGCACCAATTCCATTGACTTCTTTTGTTGACCTCTTGCTATTTGTTAGTATCTGTTTCACGGTTCAAGTAAAATCACTCCATATGGAGAAAAGTTGGCTCGCGAGGAAGATGACCCATCTATCACGAAAAGGTGAACTGGCTAGACGAATAGCTCTTCTAACCGAGCAGACTTTTTGAATCTCATGTAAACAGTTCGCCTCGTTTTGTAAGGACATGTACGAAAAGTTGACTCGCCCATGATAGCTCGCTTAACCCTTTAAGCCCCAAGATCCACATATAAACTCTCTAAAATGATCTCCATATATTTCTTTTAAGAATAGTTGAGAGAAATTGGTTTAAGATCAAAGTATTCTCCCACTGGTAATCAATTCAGTAATTCTCATGACCTTTACTCTTGATGATCTGCTGATGTTGTTGGTAGAAAATTGATGTTGGTCACTCTTGCTACCCGAGGCAACTTTTCTCCACGTAAACGGGGCCTTGAGGCCATTTAATTGTCCGTTCTTCACATGAGAACCAGTCAGGGGCACCCAACGACTGTTTCGTCTGTAAAATATCAGTTCGGAGAAGCAAAAATTGCCTAGATTTTTCTAGAGCTTGAGGAAGGCTGAAAATTTCAAGATGAAGCTTCGAAACTTGTACACGAATGGAACGGTACCTAACAAATTCTCTACGATTTTCTCAAGTTTAATTTTTCGCATTTCACTCCTCAGGTTAAGTTATTTTTCGGAGAAAAAAGAAAACCTAAAATTTTCGCATTGGAAAATGTGAGGGAGAGACCACCCAAAAAATTCTTACTTTCGTAATACTTTAAAATGCGTCTAAAATTTTCGGGAAAAAAATACTGAAGCCCTTGTAATTTCGAAAAGACTCAAGTTGCGCAAGGATGACCGAACAGATATAAATTTCTTAGTGCTACTTAGAATGCATTTCTAGAGATCTAAAAGTACTCTGGATAGCCTAAAAAGTGTTTTCAATGCATATTTTAGGAGGAAACCGTCGTTGGGTGCCCCATGACCAGCTACACTGCTTATCAGTTTGAAACTTGCGAGTGTTTCTTTTTCTTTTTGCAACAAATTAACAACAGGCAGTACCTTAATTTTATCATGACAAGCAATTATTCAGTTAAAAGCTGCAATTACATTTTGTTACCTGAGCTGCTCTTTAATGTCAAATTACAAGATCATCATCATTATCATCATCATTATCATTTTATTTTTTAATTAGCTGTGTGAAAGTGCTTTACATGACATGAATTAGTCACAGCTTAATTTAAATGGTACTCTGAGGTTGCTTGATGATAAAATCAAAGCAGTTACAAATTAATATTAGCTACCGAGTTTTCAGATTGATTAAACTTTTCATGGGTTAACTATTTCAGTTATAATAAATGTTATTATTGTTAATTATTCAGAAACCCAAAGAAGAAAGAAATTCAAAATTGCAAAGCTTGGTTAGCAGATACGAATAATTATTTTCAGGAATTGATTTAAGTTAATCTACAGCTGTACATGTTTGTCGCGAAACTCAAATCATCAATGTGGTCTGGAAGAAACCATACTTGAGTCAGAGTGGTGTCTTTGACGTCGTCCTGGATCATGTACTCCATCAATTTCACTGCTCTTATTTCCATTCAGAATGTCTTTGATGTGCTGCACAATAAGCCCTATGGCCACTGAAAACAAAGAGGACACATGAAATCTGAAGCAGTGACAGCCTATAAACCTTACTGTATTCACTCGTGAGTGAAGGTCAAGCCTATGTATAAGATGACACTCCTTTTTTGAAGCTCCACATGAGATTTTTGTCAATCCTGGAAAGAAATGCCTTGGAAAATTGATATACACGTAGATCAACGAAACAATAAGACCCACAACAAAGAACTACATGCAGCTGAATTTTTTTGGCCTTCATTGCTTGTCATCGTAGGCTAATTTTTGCACAATGTACGTAGGATTTACAAGACTGTTTTCAATCAGCCCACAAGAGCTTGTGGCCTGTGTAGAACATGAAGATGGCATTTTGGATAGGCTTTTTGGTTGGAAAAAGGTTGACTTACGTATACCTGACAGATAAATAAAATACACCTCTTAATATTAAGAGGCCCAGCCGTAGTCCTTCATACTGCTGCTCTTCATCTCATCTGCCATGTTTAGGATGGTAAAATTTGAAAAAGGTCAAGGCCCTGACCTAGCCTCCCATTCTTCATTCCCAGACATTCTTTTTTATTTTTACTATTTTCTTTATTCTCAGACATTCTTATTATGAACTATTGTCATTCAGTAACTCAGAGTGGTGGATACCAGGTTTTGGTCAGGTCTTACTGTTTATAGCAATAAGTTAAATTTTTATATTCTCTACCTGTGTTATCTGATCCTCTTGGTATTATCACATCAGCATACTTTTTTGTCTGCAAAATCAGTATTATAGTCAGGTGGGTATATGAGGAGAGCTCATGCTACTAAACTTCCATGCCAAAGATAAATGTTCCATACCAATGGGTGAGGTTCCTTACATTGTATCTGCCATCCCGACCAACAGATTTGCTCAATCCAATTACCCAGACAGTATTATCAGCTAATCACGGCCCAGAAAACATGGTTTTCAAAGAAGCCTTACAAGGGTCTGGATTTCCTCATCTACAAAGGTCTATTTAACAATTATTCCTCGAACCTGAATGGGCTCTCGGGCTATTGACTCAGAGGCCATGAGGGCGAGAGGAACAAATATTGTTTTAGTAAAATCCACCTAGTTGGTCAAAAATATTGAGACAAAACAGCTTTAGCTAGTTAAAGCTAGACTGCCGCCAAAAAGCCGGTGCTTTTCGCTACTAGTTGGCTATAACATATAGCCTAGTAGTAGCTCAACCAATCAGAATGCAGCATTGATAATAGACCACTAGTTGGATTTTACTAAAAGCAGATAGGCAAAGTGATAAAGTTGAACCTCAACTAACGGCTACCTCTACACAATGGCCATCTCCCCACAAAAGCCACTATTTTGGTGGACAGTCCATATATTGACTCTATTTGTTCAAACCTTTCTACAATGGCCACTTTTTTCGGTCTCCAAGGTTGCCATTGTGGAGAAATTCAACTGTACATAATTATAATTATAGTCACAATGTAATTGCTTGACTTATGTGAAGGAAATGTGGGTAGCCTTTGGTAATTTGAAATAACAGGATTTTGGTCAATATTTAAGAAAATGCAGCTCAGTGTTCTAACAGGATTTCAGTTTTCTTAAACATCTGTTCCACAGTCCCACTTTATCAAAAATGACATTATTCTGTATCCCACTCTTTTTTTTAAGATTCCAGTCCTAATTTCCTGAATCCTGGCATTTAAATAGGTTAAATGCCATCCCAAAAATGTACTGGGACCCTCACAGATGTAAAACAAATTTTAATTAATTCATGTCATGTCTTCCAAAAATAGGTGACCTGCTATACCACTGAATAATAAAGTAAAATTTATTCCAAAGTAATGCATCAGTCAATATAAACCCCCGCATCCCCCGGCCAGGACATAGGCGGGTATAATTTTGATAAGGGCTTACTGCTAAAGTTGTAAAATGCCCCACACCCAAGGGTCATGCAGCTTTTTCCTCTTATTGAAGCTAATGACCCCACTCATATCCACTGCTCTTGTTGGAAAAAGGTCAAAGGGACAGGTTAATGTATTTGTCAAGTAACACATGTTGCTGCATAATATGGTAAAATACAGTATATGTCCTGGGGTGTGGGGTTTATGACTGGTGCATAATTCAGGCAAAGAAACACAACATGAAAATGTTCCAAATAAAACATTTTTTTATATATAATATAATTTAATTGCAAGTAAAACACAAAGAACAAAAAAAGAATACACAGAATAAAATATTAATTGGAAGAAAAAAATTACATGAAGTAAATAACTAACTAACTAACTAAATAAAAAGTAGCAAATTTCACATAATTTACATAATCATACATAAATAAAACATGTGAAGTTAATAAATGTAAAAAAGAAAAAAAGAAGCTGCATATTTAAAAAAATTCAACTTATCAACATAATATTATCGAATTAAAATATTATAAAATAATAAGAAAAGTTGGAAACTTACAGGAAGACAAAATTCCTCAAAAGCTGGTTTAACAAAATTGGCATATGTTGCCAGCACCTGTTCCAGATCCCTTCCTCGTTCCTGAGTGTCACGTAAAACTAAAATACAACATGAACATCATGTAAATTCATCGATATACAGCAAATACCATGATTGACTTATTAAGTAAATACTACATTTTCAGTTTAATTTCATTTATAAATTGCTTTATTTAAAACAATGTACCTATTTTGAAATAATAAGTACTCATTATCTTGTTAATTCAATTATATGTTGATGTTGATGTATCTGTTTTTCTTTATTGTCATGTTTCAACCCTGTTATTGTAATTTTTGTTACTTTTCCTTCCCGCCTCGATTAGCTGTGCCATTTTGCGGGCAAGGGTCAATAATTATGATACTGTATGTATCCAAAGTCTTTTTAATAAACTTGAACTTGAACTTGAAATACAGGTACAAATGTAGCCCTGCAGTTATTTACGAAACATAGTAGTAAGACTTCATTACAAGTCCAGTTCAGTCATGTTTTCTAACCTCTTTCTATAAAGTACATGACATCAGGGCCCAGTTGTACGAAAGGTGGATGACATTATCCACTGGATAATAAACCACTGTCTTGTGGATAACGCAATTGGTTTCCCTTTTACTTCTCTGCTGGATCATCGTGATTTATCCGGTGGATAGGACTATTCAAACTTTGAACACCCAGGCCAGTTCATTCGAACATACGGTTTAGTCAAATGTCTTCATAATTACCCTAGTTTTTCATATCTGATCAAATTCTTACAACTTTCCCTTAGGTCAGTTAATGACAGTAATATCATTGTTTAGATTAGAAATGTCTTCAATTTCAATATTAAACTACAGAACTTACTTTAGAATGTACTCAGTTGTTTTATTTCAGAGCTAACTTGTTATGAGTTCATTTACAACAAATTATGGACTAAAGGCATGTTCCTTCAGAGTTTCTCTGCATTCATAAAGTATCAAATGATTTATAAACTATTACTTTTAAGGCAAAAATACAAAGGTCTGTCTCATGAAATGTCCCCAGCAATGGGAAGCAATGAGAAGAAGTAGTGTATTCATAGGCTACAATGTATTGTCTTATATAAAGTCAAAGAAAAGGCTTGAAGAAGGGCAGGAGTCCTCTTTTGGAATTTCATTTTAAGGTTCATTTGTTAACACAAGGGGAAGCCAACTACACACACTTAAGTTATTATCTAACCTCTTCTTGACAATCTAGTGTCACTGTCTGTATCCACAAATAACTTCATGTTGAGCATATCACGAAATTCCTTGAAATAGATTGTGAGTATGCCTTCAAACATAATCACATCAGTTGGGTATATTGTAATAGACTCCTTTTTCCTGTACATGTAAATTAAATACAAGTGATGTAACTTATTTTAAGTCATTCAACTTCTCAGTAACTAAACACTGGAACTCCGCCTTTCAGCCACCGCATTAGTACAGTCTTCTCATTATTATGGCCACTTTTTTCAGCCCAGCAAAATGGCCATAGATTTTCTTATTAAAAAAACCTGTTAATGTGGTCACCCATTAATACAACCAATGGCCACATTTTAAAATCCTGAACAGCAGAATCTCTTATAATTTCACCCCGTAAATACAGTCACTTCTTCGAAATTTAGAAAATTAAAATGCCTATGACATGTCAATTTTAGTGACCAAGTACTCTGTGCCTGTTCAACTGTTTTTAGACTACAGTACACAAAAAGTGCACTTGTTGCCAAATTTTAAAAGTGTTTTACATACTGAAGGGAAATATTAATTAGTTTCTTTCAATAAATATTACAGTACAGTACACGATACATGTATCTACATTCCATTTGTTTATTAATGAGAACAGTTGTTCAAGAAATGCGAATGCGCTGTACAGTGTGTTTGTCATTACACGGCCGTGTAAGTCGTGAAATTTGAGCCTGCCCCAATAATACGGCCATCCTGTCATACCAACAAATTTTTTTGACCCATTGGTGACCGTGCCAATGGGGTTCCACTGTACTTGCAAAAGTTATTCATGTGAACAAATTAATGTAACATTTCAGGGCAAGAGGTCATGTGCTCAACCAGTTCCATCTTGGAGTTTGCATCTTGCAATTTTCAAGCAATGGTCTTTGCATCTACGGAAACCTTTGATTATAGCATTCATCACCCCTCAATCACAATTATAGGTACAACTGTATTACTGTATAAAGGTCACCTAAGAAAGCTGTCGACTTTCTACATGTAATAAGTTAGGCACATTACCAAAGAACTCACCTGGTAGCATTGACAGAGTCGTAAATTGGTATTTGAACAGTTTCTCCTGCTTTTATTTTCTTTAGGGTATCAAGTGTCAGCTCGTGGTCAAAGGCATCTACCAAAATAATAATAAACTGTTAGATATCATTTAATTATTAAGACATTAACTCAAGAATGCAAGCTTATTATTTAGCTATAATTATGTATAAATAATGTGTGCGTATTTAATTATAATACCTGTTATCTCAGTGCAAGCATACACGTGCATTAATCTTAACGTTGCATACAACTAACCCAAAAAACAAACAAACTCGAGAAAGGTTGATTCTGTTTGTTTGTTGGACATAAATCAAAATCTAAATTTGTAAGTCAGATAATTTTATTTATTTACCAGCTTTTCTCGACACAGGCCTGCCCAGATTGTGCATGAACAGGACTCAGGTCCCATGTGAGGTGCCATCCCTACTCAATCCCACAACCCGTAAAGGTTGGCCACACCACAGGGGTCTACAACCCCTACTCGTTTTGAATAGTGATGTGGGTTCTTTTACGTCCCACAAGAACAAATTAGTGAAAGTGCTGTGAGATGGGAGCTACGGTTTTTCGTCCTTATATCTGAGAAGACTAGAAACTCTAACCATTTGCAGATGTCATTACAAATGCAGCACTTTCTTCTCAGTTATTTAAAGACCTTGAGTGTTGGTCCAGCCGAGGTTTGAACCCACGACCTCCTGCTCAGCAGACCAGCACTCTACCAACTTAGCTAACCAGGTGGCCTGTGTAGCAAGTGTTTCTGTGAAAGTTTCTCGTGAAAGCTGGAATTGGAGAGAATTATTAAAGCAAACTGATAACAGAAAGTCACCTGGGTGATCAAAGTTAAAATTGCCAACTTTAGCATCTTCGCCTTCCTCTGGAGAGAGTTCTCTGTAAAAGCTATCTTGGCTAATAATAACAACTCTTCTTTGATCGGATTCAACCCTGTCCTGGTCCAGTTGCTCCATTATTTTTGCACAAACTGTTGACTATGAAGGTCAATGAGCAATAAAATTAATATTTAATATTTTTTTGCATTACTTAGCCTGTGAAAATGTCTGTCATTTTGCAATATGCCACAGATGGTTTCCCTGCAAAATGATGTCTGCAGAATGAGAGCAGAAAATCCATACTGATGAAATGTCACTACCCAGATCAGGACATAGTGGGAAAATTGCTTCAACCAATCATACACTACTCAGTTCTGGGTAATGAAATGTCATCAGCGTGAAATCCTCAGTCATCAGCTTGTCACAAAAATAATGTCGGCTGTTTTCTCAGGCTAAACATAACTACAGTGTAGTATAAAATTAATGTTGAACTTGTATTTAAAAATTATACTCAATTCATATTTAGTGGAACACTTACATGTACATAAAAAGTTATACCCTGTTTCAGATGATACCATCTACTTATAAGTACAAAACCTTGGATGTTGAGACAACATCTTCATAAACTGTTGTGTATAGAGGTATGGGTATGGTGGCCCACATGCTGCAAATAAAGTAAAGTTGCGGCAAATAAAATAAAGTTGCTGCAAAGGAAAAATAGTCGCGGCTGCAAATTAATTGCCAGGATCATATATGCAGAAACTGATTTGAAATAAAGTGTTGACAGGCTAAACATAACTCATAAGCTTGTGGACCTCGTGATAGGGTAAAACATGACCCTAGAGTTACTTTTTTCCTTCTTTTCTTTCTTTCACCAAGGTTATGTAGAGCATACAGTATTCTAAACTCTGACTGAGTAAATCTTACTTTTGCTGCTCTGAGTCTAACATTTAGATTTCATGAAGCTTTCCATTTCATGCATATAGTGTAGTTACTTCCCGTGGTTTGTTTCGGACAGGAATGGATCTCTGATTTTCTTTGAGTACTTTGACCACTGTTAAAGCCTAAAGACCGCCCCCCCCCCCCTACTCCCCTCAGTAAAAATCGGAGAAGAAGCGTCAGTGATTCACTGTTGATAATCGTGTATGGAGGCCATGTGATTTTTCCTGGAATGTGTGGAAAATGATTTGATTGGCTGTTATTCGTAGATCACTACATCATGTAATTGAGGGATTTTGATTGGCTTTAGGACCCGTTGTCAAAACATAGCAGGTAACCAGAAAATTATTACCTTTACGGACAACTACACTCATGTAGCTTTTCAGAACCTCGGATTTCGGAGAAAAGAAAAGAAACTGAAATCTTTATTGAAAGGTTTTTGAGTTGACTAAAAGGCTTTAGGCTTCAAAGCAGTCAAAGAAAAACCAGTTCTAATATAAACGGCATCCAAGATCAAATTCTGTCACAAACACCTACAGAAACAATAACAAAAAACTACAGGAAATAATAATTTACTGTACATGAGACATATACTAGCTTCTAAATGCTAGAATGAAAGGAAAAAAACAAGACTTGTTTAGTCAAAGTCTACGGTACTCCATGCACTATGACACATTATCTATGCACTAAAAAGAAAAGAAGGAAAATTTTTGTTGCCAAAGAAACACTAAGGTCACGTTTCACACTATCACGAGCTCATGAGTCATGTCTGACTTGTCAACACTTTATTTCAAAATAATGACTTTCCGTATCCAGTGGGAAGGCTTTCATAAGAACATGGATCTTTTCCTTCAATATGGGCTTGTAAGAACATTTTTCTTGCTTGGTGTAGAGTGAACCGATTTTAAAAACGTCTCACTCTCTCAGTTGCTTGATGGAAATAAGATGCATGCACCAACATTTTGAGAACTGGAATGACATGAAACATGAGCCACGGAAATTTTGGTTGGCGGAAACTATTTTTTAAATATATGCAAAGTTATTCCCATCCACGATTACCAAAGGTGAATCACAGACACACCTTCTCCGAGTTTTCCTGAGGGGAGGGGGATCTGTACACAGGCTAGAACTCTAGGGTCATGTTTTAAACCATCACAAGGTCCACAAGCTTATGAGTCGTGTCAACACTTTTAAGTGTATTTCAGATCAGTGTGTCAAAACTTTCCTGTCATTTTACAGGGCTGAAAATAATGAACAGCAGGTTGCCGGTCATGATGACCGGCCAAATATTTTTTAGCCCGAACAAACCCCGATTCTGGCCGTCAAATAATGAATACTAATAATTTTTTTTTGCCTAAGGAATAAGCAATTATGCTGGCAATAGATCGTTATTACTACATTGACGTTCACATTTTTGACAGCAAATTGGTGAAAAATGCATTTGCACGTTGTAGAGTTCCTTTCCGCGGTTTTTGCGCGTTTTAATGTTACGTTCTACCTTGAGTATCATTGCATGGCGGTGTCTCAAGTCTCTACAGGTAAAAAGTGAAGCGTAAATCCTTTTCAAACTCCAAGGGTTCAGGAAACGGAATACACATACAGTTCAGCAAACTTTAGAAATTACGAAAAAAAAAAAAAATTGGGTTATTTTACAAAATCTGCACATGCTTGTTTTACGCTGATGTTCCGAAATGAACATCGGTGAAACTTGATCTTTTTCCTTGCCTGGCACGTGATCAAAAGTCACTTCCTTAAAGAAGAATCGTCGCTGATATTTTCAGCAAAGAAGTTGATTTGCATTGGCGAGAAGTTTGTTCCACAAACAGCGTGTTGATGATCAGAAGTCAATAAATAAATTTGGGTCATCGCGCAACATTTTATCGCGAAGGGCTCAAATATCAACAGAAATTTGCATAAAGTTGTTTCCAAGATCGAGAATCTAGCGCCACGATAGACGACGACCTTCCCTCTTGAGTAGCTTAAATTTTTATCAGACCATTCTGGCATCGAGTCTGCAAACGAGATTCATGTTAAGAAATTATTATTAATCGATGCGCTAACATTTTATTCCTGGAGAAACACAGGACGACCTGTTGAGAATTGCGATCGATTTGCCTGAATTCCTTTGAATTCCCAAAGAAGGTCACATTTCTGATTACAGCAAAGCCGAAAGTACAGTACGACTTGCAACGTTGCGTTATTTTCCAACTCAGTTTGTTATTCACTTTGTTGCGTTAGATTACGACATGACGACATGAAATTAATTTATTACGGCGTTCTTTTTCTTAAAAGGGTTTAGTGCAAAGCAGCAAAAAACGCCAAAGAGAAAAGAAATCATTGCAGCGTTATAGAGCATTAAGTGACAACTGTATGGAAAATAAAGTGTTTGTATCCAAAAATGACCAGTCAAAATGACCGGCGAGACCGGAGTTTGTCCGGTCAAGTCCGCGATCAGGCCAGACATTGTCCGCTGACCGGCTGTTATTTGCAGCCCTGAAATTTTATTTGCAGCAACTCATCTTACTTGCAGCGACTTTTTTTTTTGCAGCATGTCCCCTGTGGGCCACTGTATGAGGTTAAAATAGATTCAGTCTAGCTGTAGTTGAGAGAATTTGACAAAAGACCAAAGACAAGACATGCCCTTAAAAATGGTACAGTTTCCATC